TTTAATATTAATGAACACTCTTCGTACATGGTTTCATCTTATCAATATAAGTTATTTCTCTGACTATTCGAACCTACTCGCCAAAACACTGTGAAAAAAAACAACACTGTATTTCTTTTTAATTTAAAACCGCTGCCAGTTGTTAGAGTATTCGACGCAGTCAAACAATTTCCATTTGCACAATAATGAAGCTGGTTATAATTTAAGAGCCTACTTGTGTCCCATATCACTGCGAACCTTTCTTCATTATTATTTCAGTGGCCGTTCGAAATGGCTTCTACTTGTATCGCTCTATTTACATAGATTATTTTACTTTTGTTAGGTTAGGTTTTTAAAAATGGTACAAGTTTTCTTAAACCTAGTTAAAATGCAGAGTCTAATATTTTAGTTTTTGTCGCGAAAAAACTGTAAAACGATAAATTATAGATTTTTGTTTTGACAATAAGGTTTTTATATATTTTTCTTTATTCTAAAGTCCTTATGGGAACACAGAGTACCTATAATCAATATCTTTGTTAAAATTGACGTATTAGATATGAAGTGAATATACCTGATTTTAAATTTTGTTGTAAAAGAAGTATTAAATAACAAGCGCTTCATCCTTCGTAAAATAAAAAAGAACAACGGTTGGTGCAAATATTTCAAATGAGTAGGGAAACAGAGCATCTGGCTGTATTAAAAATTCAACGGAGGACGTAAAGACTTATTGTAGTGTCGTTAGCGTCTTGGCCTTCACTTGTTTTCAAGACAAGTCATTTGAAGTTATTGCTTTCTGGCAACTTGTATGTACTGACTTAAGTTCTATATTAACTCCTAGTTTAGTTCACTTCGATATAAAGTTTAGAGTTACTAAGTCTTTTATCTGGTTACCTAGCTACGATTTGGAATGAAAGTGCCATCACTGGTACCTGGGACTGGTGAATTAAGTATTTTTCTTGAAGATAAATATCGATATTATATTATCAGTTCGTCACCAGTCTATTAATGTCCCTATTGCTGGGGCCTTCCCTATGGATGGCATCGAATCAAATAGAACATGGAGAACGGGCCATGATCCACCTAGTGCAGATTGGTAGATATTAACGACTGCAGATCCAGCCGGGACTAAAGGCTTAACGTGCCTTCCGAAGCACAGAGGAGCTGAGATAATAAATTTTGGTCACTCGTATTTTAACGTATTTTAGCTCGTTAACTACTGCGACCTTGGCCTCCTTTTTGATTGTTAAGTTTAAATATTTCGTGGTGCATAAGTTAGTGAAATGAAGGAAAAATAACACCTTACTTATTATTTTATATCAATCTTCATTGAAGATCGACTTTAGTGCTTCTTTTACATCATCCTCGTCATAAAGGCCACTTGATTCTTATTTGTCTTCGAAAGAACATAAAACACAGCGATGAAAATGGTATTAAGGTGACACTTCCTCATAAAATAAAATGTAAAGGAGCCACTTACAAACTTTATGTGCCTTTAAAACCGGTTTTTCTGCTGATCTCTTTTGGCATGAGATGAATTTTGACATGGATATTTTTTAAGAATCAGTGGTAAGATATCAAAAATGTTAACAAAATAAATGCTTTGTTATTAAAATATAAATATTTATTCGATTATTCTTTAGCCCTTTGTGCATTTTTGCTTCTATAGTTAACAATACTGAACGGATTAATTTCAGATTTTTATATTACTCTCAGATATATTATATATCAACTTATCTATTTAAAAGGGAGTATTTTTGAATACGGTATTCACAATGACTTATTTTCAACATATCGTGAGAATGTGGTTGCTTAATTTTTTTTTCGTTTTTTCAATTTACCTTCAATTTCTATAATTTTTTCTTTGTTTTCTTACTCAATTAAGTCATTTCCTAACATTAAACATAAATCTTTACTATATTTTAGCGAAATAATAATAAATCGGGTGTCGGCCATTCGATGTCTCTTTATTTTTCGGCTTGATAATATTCAATTGACGATTACATCACATTTTTTTCCTTGAAAGTGTTTTAATTTTTATTTGGTTACAGTCTTTATACATTTAGCCTACCTATAGGCAAATTTTACATGGTAATATTATCCCAGACTGATCTCGTGATTGTAATCAGAGCCGCAGCTAAGGGGCGACTTATACTATATAGGAATTATATAATTCTGAAACTTACACATCAGAGTCTTATCTTTGATTATTGAACATTATAGCTTTCCTGTTGTAAAATTAAAAATTTGTACAAGTTCTAATCTGCGATGGATTTCAAAAGGAATCTAGAGAAGTTGTCAGATAAATAGAAAAACTAAGACATAAGTATTATAAAAAGAAGAACTATTACAACAAACACAAATATCATGAATATTCTAGAACAGTGAAAAGATGCATTTTCTTAGCTAAAAAAATACGAATAAGAAGTTTGTATTAAAAAGTAAAAATATATCAAAAGCCACATGGAAAGTTATACAAACTGAAATTGATATGATACATCATAATAATTATATTGAGAAAATTGAATTTAATGGTAATATTTTTTATAATTATTTTATAAATTTAACCAATAATTTTGATAATAATAATTATGACATTAATAATACAATTAAATACTCAAATGACAAATAAAATAATTCAATCTTTCTTACTCCTATTGACGAATGCTATGTTGAAAAAGTTATAATGATATTAAATAATACAAAATCTGAAGGCTATGATAATATATGTACATATGTGATAAAAATATGTAAAGAACAAATTAGCTCTATTTTATCATTTTTGATAAATTTGTCAATGGAAACGGGAATATTTCCTAATAAATTAAAACACTCTATTGTCAACCCTTTATATAAGAAAGGCGATAAAACTATTTTCAAATATCATCGGCCCATTACACTGATACCAGTTTTATCAAAGATATATGAAAAAGTTATACATAACAAACTAACATCGTTTTTTATTAAATATTATGTGCTAAAAAATAATCAACATGGCTTTCAAAAAAATAAGTCGACTACACTTGCTGTCTTTGACTTTATTAACGAAATATTAGAAAGTATTAACAAAAGCAAATATACAACAGCTCTTTTTTTTGATATGTCAATGGCATTCGATTTCGTTTTATATGAACAACTACTAAAAAAATTGTATAACAATGGTATCAGAGGTACAGCTTTAAATTGGATTAAAACATATTTACAAAATAGAATGCAATCTGTTGAAATAAGTAAATTAGATTCAAAGGGCATAAATCGAAAGTATCAATCAGAATTAAAAGTAAAAAACATTGGAGTTCCACAAGGCAGTGTTCTTGGACCTCTTTAACTTTTGGTGTATATTAACGACGTATCAAATGTAACTACACTTAAAAGTATTTTATTTGCTGATGATATATTAGTGGTAGTGACGACTAATAATAATATGAAAATTTCTGACCACGAAAACGACATAAATAATACAATAATGACCATAATAAACTGGCTTGAATTCCATAATCTGATAATAAATATAGACAAGACATATTTTATGAATTTTAATATTTTAATTTCTAATAACTTGATTACTAAATACCAAAAATGCACGCTTGAAGAAGCTGATAACGTTAGATTCTTAGGCATAACTATTGACAAGAAACTAGATTGGAAACAACATGCAGAAATCATTTGTAATAAGATAAATAGCTTCTCATTTGCATTATTTAAATTATCGAGAGTAGCGACAAGAAGTACGGCTCTCACAGCAAACTTCGCTAATGTGGGGTCAATTTTACGTTATGCAATTATTTTTTTAATTTTTATTTCGACTTATAAAACTGATTACAATTAAAAATATAAACAATACAATTTTCACAAAAAAGAAACTGGATTGTAACCTTCTAGATGTAAGTACAACATGCATTTTAAAATTAAACATTTTTTCACAGAAGTGACTACAGCCGAAACGTAAAATAATTTAAATTACAAAATATTAGCAAAGTTATCATGATTTTCTCAAGAACCAAAAACAGATCTTAAACTCTGCCTAGCAGAAGCAATAGACCCGTTGAATATGTCGAAATTAAATCGTATTGATTCATAGCTAGAACACATGCGATATAGCGGTGAATGCTGACCGAGACGAGTTTTACGGAGTGGCAATGTAAATGTTTTTCTGTTATGTATTCGACTCCCAATCCTCGGAACTGTGATCTTTATTTTTTCCAAAATATCAGGGGAGTTAATACAACCAATTATTTGGGGCAATGGTACAGATGCGCAAAGGGTATTTATTGCCCAGAAAAAATGCATAAGATCCATATGTGGTATCGCTCCTGACGCCGCGTGTAAGCAATGGTTTAAATTTCTTGGTATTTTACCTCTTCCTTGCTTATATATATTTGAAGCAGCGAAATTTGCCAAACAATACCCTGATTATTACAAAATAGCTCATGAAGTTTATCCCAGGAACACTAGAAATAAAAATAGGCCAGTTCTTGACATATTCCCAAAAAGCGCGCGATTTAAAGATATCTGCTACTGTATGTGTCAAACAATATTTAATAAGATTCCGGAATCTATAAAGAATACACCTTTTACTAGATTTGAGAGAGAGTTATATAACTGGCTTGCTGAGCGTTCCTTTTATTCGTTGCATGAGTTCTTAGACTATAGAAACTGAACGGTAGCCTGGGTGGATTAATCAGTGCTTATAGTATCTTCTTTTACTACGTTTGCATGCTATTGTTAATGGCTGAATAGGCGATAATTGTATTACCTTTATCATTTCTTTTGTATACCCTATTCAAACGCAAATAAATTATTATTATTATTACAAAAAGGGGTAATAATTAGTACTAATTAATTTAAGATTAAAGAGAGGGAGCCATATGTAGATGTTGAATAATGTGATATTGCTAGTTAAGATGTGTACAGAACTTTCTTATTATTTTTTAACAATATAATTTTTGTTACCTAAGATTTTTCTTTTTAGTTTCCAATCTTTGGTCTAATCTTCTACCCGTTACAATACAGGTTTATATTTTATGTTTCTTAGGCTACAAGTTCTTCATTGCCTGGAACACTCTGATGGTTCCGGTGGCGAGACTGTATTAGTGGATGGTTTCTATGGTGCCACGAAGCTTAAAGAAACATTTCCTAAGGATTATGACTTCCTTACAAGGTTTGATTTGGAAGCTGAGTACATAGAAGAAGGCCATCATCATAGATATTCAGGACCTGTGATCAAAGTTAATACAATAGGAGATCTTGTGCAAATAAGGTGATTTATGAACGTTAACATATTTGCTATAAAACATGATTAAAAATGTAAAAGACTGTAAAGCTCATCTTTTTCCAATCCATTAATCTATCTATCCGATATTGCCAAAGTTGGCAATTAATTTGGAATGTATTGGTAGGTAATTAATATGTTTGTCCCCGTGTGCAGTTATACTTTTGTAAATTTACGTATTAATTTTGATACTAATCTACAAAATCACTATGTAGAAGAATCTTGTTTTTGGGTTTTATATCTTAAAAGAAAAATGCGGAACCGTCAAAGACGATACGCCACGCCATTGACGAAGACCTTTAATTGAATAAAGGTCTTCGTTTCTTTTCTTCTGAGGTTCAGAATAAAAGAGAACGCTTATTTATTATATTATGATATAAAAGAAATGAAAAAAAAACCTACTGCAGATACAACGTATACGACCGATCTACAATGGCATTTAGCAGCAGTGAGCAGTGCCGCTCATACTATCGCTCCCTGAGGAACCTCTCCCGCTACTATCAAGATCAGTCGAATGAGTGGAAATTTAAACTTAAACCAGGTATAATGAGTCGGATAAGACTAGATTTTTTTATATTTTTATGTACCATGTGTGATATTGGAAAATTTATTATTTTAATGAAACTGATGATGTAGTCTCTCGAGTACTCGAGCTGTGGCGGATTATATTCTTAAATTTGCGCTCTGAACGATAGTGAGAGAACGGTAGCAATTCTGATACACAAACTAGCCTTAATTTAGGTTTAGCTCTATCACACTGCAATTTTAATTGTGAAAATAACAAAGATATTTTAAAACTATATAACTGTAGTTGAAATATCTTATTTTCAACTATATAACTATAGTTGAAAATATGTCATGCTAACTTATTTCTTAATTTGAATAGTTAAAATAAAGACTATACCTATATTGTCCTCTTGGTCAAGCTACATACGAATACTTTTTTCACTAGAGGATGTGGCTATTTCATATCAGAGTAAAGCCTAAATATCTTAATGCTTTTTATTTTAACCTAGAAGTCTAATATTTCTATTATCTATCCACGAAAAGGGTGTGTCTTTATATTGCAAAATTTAATGTTTATATATATATGAAGTTTATTTTTTCAGGCACCGCCATGGTAATTGACAACTTCCGACTTTTGCACGGCAGGACTGCTTTCACTGGCACAAGAATATTATGCGGAAGCTACGTGGCACGTTCTGATTGGCTAGATAAGGCGCGGACCCTGAAACTTATTCAATGATATTTCTTTAAAATAAGTCAATAAAAAATTTGATTTGATTCTCTTTAACTAGTTGATTACACATTTGAGGGTTACGCAGCAGACGTCCTCTCGCTCGTTATTAGGTATCTTATACAACTTTTCTTATTAATATTATAATTGAAAATAGATTAAGTTGCTTAGCTAATAAGTGTCTGATAATGAAACGTTATATTAATTTTCATACGTAATATTCAGATAATTTATAAGACCAAGATTAAGATCTGAAGGCTCGTTCTATGTTTATTAAAAAGAAATTTACGAAAAATAAAAATGTAAGTTTCTTACAAAGTTAGTATGATTATCAGTTTAAACTTATTTTGAAATAAGGTAGGTTTGTTTTTCATTTTATTTACCACCGAAAATTTTCGTTTATTTGTGATTGATCGAAGCTCATATCAAAAACAATTTTCTGGAAGAATCTGAAAGATTATGTGAAATGAAGTTCAATTATATTATTTAGTTGCCAATTTTGATATCAATCATAACGGAAGATGGCAATTTTCGATAAATATTTATTTTAAACCTAAATTTTGCCTAATTCATAAAATTCATTAGCCTATTCATTAGCCTATTGAGGTCCCTATTGCTGGTGCACAGGCCTTCCCTATGGATGGAATAATATAGGAAGAATGGACCATGGGCCACTCACGCGGGCCCAGTGCGTATAGGTGAGTGTTAACGACTGCAGATGCACCCAGGACGAACAGCAGAAAGTGCCTTCCGAAATATGTTGGAGCTCGAGATAATAAATGTTTGGTCACCCATTCTATAACTGGCCATTGTTAAAGTTGCTTAACTTTCGTATCGCATACTGAATGAACATACTGCGCCATCGAGCTTTTATGTATATAAAATTTATACGTAGAGAAATATTACAGCACGCTCTACGATTTGAACAATAAAAATAAATCCGTCGTGCCTTCACTGAATGCGTAACTAAGCGTGATATTTATACGCCAATAATTCTGAAATATTGGCTGACACAAGACAGGATGCCACATGCCGATGATATGAAATATTTCTACTCAATTTCGGTACGAAGCGTCATTGTTGATGTTGGTTAACAGTATCGCAACTTTATAAAACTTTCTTAGAATAAGGTTACGTCTGGAACAGACGCATCACGCGGTAAGCTCTACAATAGAAACTTACGTAAAAGTAAAAGGAAGAATCTTTATGCCTGTATATAAGGTTTATTTTATATAATAAATAATAACGAGGTTAGTGATTTCCTCCATCACGAGTCTTTTTTCTTTTTGGGTTCATCATAATCGGCCCATTAACTGGGTCCACTCCTGGGTCAGACCCTCCCAAATTAAACTGCGAGAAATCTTCGGTTTATGGAATTGTAAAAACAAAACGATAATATACCAATATTGAAATATTTAGACCTTGATAAAGATAGTAAATAATTTAAAGCTCATCTATATTTGGTTTTAAATATATTTTTCTGTTAATATTTTTTGTAAATATATGTTTATTGGGACGTCACGGCCGACGGCAACATAGCGGTCGACACCACGCCTGAATCCTGAATTAAAAATGACGGGCGAAAAAATTGATGGCCGATTCGTGCCACCCCTTTGCAATAAATTTGCATAAATAAACTCGTCACGAAAAAAATAAAATATCATTTTAGTTATTAAATTTTATTATACTTATATGGGATTTTTTTTATTGATTTAAAGAACAGAGTTGTAAGATGTAACTTAAATTAAGTATATGTAAACTTGATTTTAAAACTTTAGTAGGGTGGAAGCAATCCTATTCAGATACATGAAACTAATCTTGATCATGTCACTAAATTATGGCTACAATTTTTGCGAAAAAAACTTATTTTACCATTTATTTGCCATGTTCTCGTGTAGTTCCTTTAAATTTCCCTAATTTCAATTAAGTTTTTTTATAAATAAGAATACGAAAATTATTTAAGTGTTAATTTTAATCTATTGTTATGATCTTTAATCTTTTCTAAATAAAGGAATGTGGAAAGTCACAATGTGCCTAAGGTTGATGGCATGTATATATATCGCTTTCATTATGATCACATGGTCGGTAGAAATACGGCTATGCTACCAAACGTAAATTTTTAATTAGAATTGAAAAAGAAGCAAACAATGTTAAAAAAAGTACAGTTTTTGATTATTAATCTTAAATAAGTTTGAATATTATTTATTATAATGGCCTAATTTAGACATGTTGATGTCACTAAAATTAATGAATGAATAACGGCTCAAGAATTCAGTTAATTTTTAACCTTTGATGTTATTATCTGAGGCTACAGCAGTGGTCCGCCAAGACGAGCCAAACGAAGTACAACGTCCGAACCATATTGATGAAGGTGAGGTTGGTGAAATTAGGGACTTGGATAATTAGGGCGTGTAGAGTTAAAAGATCTCTCTGATGATCTTGGCGATATTTTACATGGATTTTTTTGATGGGTAGTATATGTTTGATTGCAAGATCAACATTTGCAAAGAATCATAAAGTATATTGGATCAAACTTCAAGTAATCCAATGTTTCTTATTCGGACGTGATTGCAATATAAAATACCAAAAGGGACTATACTGTCTACAAATTTCATTAATTAAGAGAAAAGGAAGATAAAAAGAATTCAGTTACTTTTATCTACCGAATCTTTATTCTATAAGAAAAGTTAGAAGGAATGTGCCGATTTTATGGACGATAATACTGATTTGCCGCGACCGTCACGTTTCGTTTAAATTGCCTTACAGAATACAAACGAAAAGTTAATTAATATCTTTACATATTTATATTAAAACTGCTGAAACTTAATTTGACTATTTTGTTTCGGATGGACTACGAAATTAATATTATGGATTGTATTTCATTTTTGATTTTCAAAGACGAATTCATAAATGATTCTTATGTTGTTATGAATAAAGAAATGGTTTTGATACCAAATTAAAATTCATAAAAACACACTTTTGTTGACTTAAAAACACATAGAAAAATTATATAAGAAGAGGAAATATAAATTAAGAACAATAGCAGTTGTGTCAATCGAGATTAGAAGCTGTTTCAGTTTGTTTCGACATTGGATATATCAATACTGATTTGCATATTAAAAACAAAAATGGGCCAAGACGGATTCGGATTCGTTCACCGAACATCAAATATATTTTTTAAATCCATAGACTTTTAATAGGTTTTCCTGTAATCTTAAATTATAAAAACAGTATTATTATGAGGTCGCGCGAGGCGAGGTATTCGTTACAGACGTGTTTATATCGTTCTCCATTTTTTTAATGTGAATCACTGTTAATACTTGAAATTCTTTAATGAAGAAATAATTACTGTAATCTATATCACCAGGCCTACCAAACAGTGCATAATAGGAAGAATAAAGTGCAACAGTTTTTAAATAGTGAACATTTTTTATGTTCTTCAACCGCCAATTCATCAAGTAAAACTGTAGTGAGTAATGCAATTTGTACTTGTCGAGTGCGTCACGATTCGCTCACCGTCACGGTTCATTAACCTTCAGTATAAGGTGATCACAAGCGACTGCCCATTTCAAAACAACGTTCAACTCGTCCGTGGCACAGTGTGCACACTATTGGACTTGCACTAGAAGCGTTACAGTGGGAAGAAGATCAAATCCGGGTTGCAAAAGTTTTTATTTTTGTTATTTATTTATATATATATTTTTTTTAACACCCAATTTTTGCATATAAATAAGAATGTCAAGTGGCGACAAGATGATATGTGGGGGATGTCGGCGTACCGTAGAAGATAGACGCTTTTTATATTGCGGTGGTTGTAAACAGCTTTACGATCTTGAATGTGCAAATGTCTCAGAGCAGCGTTTCTATAATACCCTTACGAAGGAACACAGAGAGGCCTGGAGATGCGTTTTGTGCAAGAGCCGGCATCCCAAAGCTGATAACAGCAATACTCCAGTTCGAAGTGGCGCTGATGGTATCACAATTCAATGTGGAGCCGCTGTTAGGAGCCCTACACAATTAAATATGTCCATTGTGGAGCAGCCCTCTTCTCTCAACGATACTGCTCACAATATGACTATAGAAGTGAGCGACTTCCAGGCTTTTGTGATGGAGATGCGCTCGTTTAGGCAGGAGATGCTGGAAGAATTAAGATCGAACCGGTTGAAAATTGAACAGCTCGGCGAGACTGTCATCTCACTCTCGGACAAAATCATAGAATGTGAGGATCGCATCGTGATGATGAACAAGCGAATCAACAGCTTGGAAAATCGCATGGGCGGTGAGCAAAATGATACCTCCCTGGCAGCATCCGTCGAGAGCTTGAAGGTGGAATTGAATGATCGCGACCAAGATCTGCTTTTAAACGACGTCGAAATATCTTATATCCAAGAACAAAGGGGCGAGGGATTGCTCCATGTGGTCACCGTTTTGGCGGGAAAACTAGGAATAAACTTGGCAACCCAGGACGTCGTATGTGCCACACGTGTCGGTCGTGCACCTGAATCGGGGGAGGCAGAAAAATCACTAACGTCCCGCCCGCGACCCATCGTCGTTCGTCTGGCGCGTCGCGTTGTACGAGACGAGCTGCTGCAAGCGGCGCGCGTCCGTCGCGGCGCTACCACAGACGGTACAGGGCTGCCAGGAACACCACGCCGCTTTTACGTTAATGAAAGATTGACGAAGGTGAACAGGCATCTCTTCCGGCGGACGCGGGAATTATGTGGTAGGTTAAACTGGCGATACGTCTGGACGAAGGATGGCCGCATATTTGTACGTCAATTTCAAGGCAGGGAGGCTCCGCGACTACGTATACGGGTGGAATCTGATCTCGTGCGGGTTTTTGGCCGGGAGGCTGTTAGTGCTACAAGTAAGAATGAACCTTTTAAGACATCTTAGTGCTTCCTATAATATTATTTTATGCTTATCGCTCCGCTTGCAATATTGCTCTTATATGTATATGCTTTTCCAATTTTCAAATTTTTGCTTTTCCTTTAATTGTTTTTTTTGTA